GTGGGAGCGGACTGGTCGAAGGGAGGTGTTTGGTAGGAGGCGGTCTTGCAAATAACTAGGTCCATTGCCATGGAGCGCTTTAAAGGTTGTTACTAACACCTTGAAGCGCACCCGGAAGGCCACAGGCAGCCAGTGCAGCTCGCGCAGGAGAGGTGTTACATGGGAGTATCTAGAGGCCCCCAGGATCCCCCGCACGGCCACATTCTGAACTAGCTGGAGCCTCCAGGTGCACCTCAAGGGGAGCCCCATGTAGAGAGCGTTGCAATAGTCCAGGCGGGAAACAACGAGGGCTTGAGTGACTGTGCGTAGAGCGTCATGATCCAGAAAGGGGCGCAACTGGCGTATCAGGCGAACCTGATGAAAAGCCCCCCTGGCCACGGCTGTCATATGGTCATCTAAAGACAGCCGAGTATCCAGGAGGACGCCCAAGTTGCGGGCCCTCTCTGCGGGGGCTAATGACTCGCCCCCGATAGCCAGGGATGGAACCAACTGGCTATGTCGTGACGCCGGAAACCACAGCCACTCGGTCTTGGACGGGTTGAGTCGAAGCATGTTCCTCCCCATCCAGACTCGCACAGCCTCCAGGCACCGGGACATCACTTCCGTGGCATCGTTGGGGTGGGGTTATGTCCCAAGGCTTGCACTCCCAAATCAAACACATACAATGGACTATTCAATTAATATGACTGCTCCCCATATATCTGTATCTCCCTTTCTATCACATTAAAATTGTATTGATTACAATTTTGGAGAGTCTAGAGATTATAATCAAGACTTTTTAAAGAAGTGCCACTGGTCTTCAAGCCATAGGGCAATACTGCTGGATTTAACACACATATTAAATTGCAAGGGTAAGATTTTTAACTACAACTTAAATGCAGCTTCAAAGAGCAGCTTACAAAACCCTATCTAGCAAGAGAACAAAAAACAATATATCAAAATATACTACCAAAACCAAGCTAGAGGAATATCAAACTCCAAATTCATACCATAGCAGGGTATATCTCCATTTGTCACAATTCTACCTTATAACCAGATTTTAACAGCTTTCCAGACAGCTAAAAGTGAGAGAGCCAGTCTAATCTTTGGGAGGGGTAGAAGCAATGCTGTTCTAAAGAAGAGGGGTCAACCCTTTAGGAGAGGTACCCAAAGAGAGCCCAGTCTATAATTGGATGAGCAGAAACCATTGGAAATAGTGGTTCAAAAGACATCCTGGTCACAAATCATGTACAGTTTTATAAGTGACGTACAGGACCTTGAACTGAATCTGGAAAGTAATTAATAATATATAACAGTTATAATAGTTGAAGCAGGAATAATTAATGGCATATATCACTACTCAAGCCACTGCCTTCTTGATCAGTAGTAGATTCTTGGTGACTTTCAAGGGCAGCCCCATGTAGACAGTAAAGAATACTAACCTCAGCAATTGTGCTTCCAGTAGTATTTTTTGAAAGGTCATTATATATTTCAGTCATTGTTCCTTTTATAGCATCCATCATCTGTTTAAAAGAAAAAAAATACAGAATTAGATATTTATTTACTGGGAAGAGCTCCTTCAGTTTTGTTTACACCAGATATGATGAAAAGGATACTAGAATATAAAATGGTTATTTTAGATTTCATACTTTACATTAATTTACCATTCCAGAGTTAAGTGCTACTCTCAAGCAACTGAGCCTGTTGAAGAGCACTGAATATATTCCCATCCCCAAATTTAAAGCACAAATATTGTTTAAGCAGGATCCTCCTCACTTCCAAGCTTACCACTGCTTTCGCTTGACAAACAAAAGTAGCAGCTCTATCTCCAGCAGCTACCTAGCAATGTATTCCATGGAAAACCACCTGGCATTGAACCTTAACCTCTGTTCAAAACACTATAGAGAAGAATTGGCAAAAGTAGACACTATAATCTCTTTGCTTGGTTTAAAATCTGTTATCTGGGTATCATGCCTTTTATATTCAAGTGGGTAATACATAACCCAGGTCAGAGGGAAGATTAAAACATTATATACCTTTCTCTTGCTCTTCAAGTGAAGAATCTAGATAACTTGGGGGTTATCATTCACTTTGCATCCTAAACCTTTTTTCCTCAATGCTATAATCTAACCTCTATGAAAGACTACATATCAATTCTGCAATAAGACTTTGAATTAGCTTTGAACATTCGAACTAGCATGTTCCTAGGAAGGACATATTCAAGGGAAATTTGACATAATTCCACTGTTCTATGGGGACCAGTTTAAAATCTCACCATAATATGTTATTTGTGTCAGTGGGGTAAGTATGTGCTGAGAGAGAAGGTGAACTAAGCTGAGTGAGTGTGTGTGTGTGTGTGTGTCTGTGTGTGCATATTAAGTAAATGAGATGGAGGGGAATGGAAAGGATCTGTGTCTGCTCTAGGCAAATGAACCAGGAAAGCAGGCCTGCCTTGAATGGCCTTGTCCACTGTTGTTATGTACTTATATGGGTCTTTGACCATAAAAGAAATCCTCCAGCCATCTTCTAATGTATCTAATGACACAAACAAATAGCAGATAGATAGATTTAATAGGGAGAACTAATTAACCTATGTTGTGCACAAAAATGTAAATAAAGGATTTATTCAAAACAAGATTGTTTCCGGATGACTTTACAGACATGTCCATATAGTTATTTTCAACAACAATATGGAATCCTTTTTTGTTTGTCTGTTAACTTCTTAGTATAGTCTACATCCCTGCAATCTCCAATGCAAGTACTAACCGCGCCTAACCCCATTTAGTTTCTCACCCTAAAAATGGTTGGCCAGGTTATTTTGGCTAATTTTCCCTTCTATTCTTATCTAAAAAACATAGAACAGGAAAAAAATTACACATCTTCTGGGTATACATTAGGAGCCAACTTTAAATGTTGCTGTTATGTTCTTCTGTGAGTTCAAATGTTAATCCTAATCCATGAGAATAGTGAAAATAACAAAGGAATGATGAACACTTTGTACATGTTAAAAATACATTAACTGAAATCAAGCATTTAATACACTTTTTAAAAAGCTTACTTTACTAGTATACTTAGCAATATCTGCAGCCACATCTGCTGAAGCAGTTGCTATTGGCAAGTCTGTATTAACTGAAGATGAAAGTGTATTTGCTGATCCAGAACTGGTTACTATAGAAACAGGCTGAGTGCTTGTAACCAGGGTGATAGTTGACGTTGAAGTACTCTGAGTAATTTCTTTTTGCTGTACAGCTGGAATACAAAACAAATCTGAAAATGAATTACTATATATTTCAAAGCATTTAGAAAATTAAAAACAAGCCGCCTCTGAAATAAATACTATTTGGTAGTTTTTCTGCTTAGTTACTAGAACTATACCATTTAATCTGTGGGTGATGTTATTAACAGAAAGCCTTAAAATCAGACAGGAACAATAAGTGAGTACTCATCCTGATTTTATCAATTGTAAAATGCCCTGTAGGGATTCATACATTAATAAGGCATTATGTTTATTAGGACCAACCAGAACATTACAAAATCATTTAAAGGGTTTCAATATAAAACCAAAGTGGTAGTGGAAAAAAAGAGGTGGTGAGTCCAAAGACTGCAGTTTTTAAAGTTCTTAAAACAAAATACAGGCAATATTAAGTAGATTTAAGTAAATTTGTTTTATTATATACTATATATCATAATATACACTATTACATCATAAATATTCAAGTTATGGGAAAAACTGCTGGTACAAATACAATGATAACTGTTCCTTAATATACAATATGAACCCAAGCAATTATTCAGAGATTTATTTAAAGAGAGTTCAGCCCACAATCAAAAAATAAGATAGAGAGATCCAGTTTTTCCTTTCTCCTGCAATCTTTTTTTTTTTCTTTCAAAATGTCGCTGTGAAGGGCTCAGGAATGATTTGTGAAAAGAGGATGGTCAGCAAAAATAACCACTTCATCCTGCATAAGGGAACATCTGCTGGTTCCAAAAGACTTTCATATTTGAGAAGAAATTTTCCTTTTATAGGATGGCCTATCTAGATTCAACTTATCACCAACAACAGTGTTATTATCATAATAACCTGTGTTCTTATATAATTTTGATGTTAAATCTATTAGGTTAATTAAATCGTCAATAAAAGGGCTGGACAATTCATATTCCAACTGAAAGGTTTCTTACTATGTGTATTGGTGGAATGTTTGATAATTTCCTCGTTTTTGTGCAATTCATATTTGAGGTCTGGGCACAACTACTGTGAATGGATTGCAATGAGCAGACATTAGGAAAGGTGGGCAATACCTTTCACTGCTTGTCTTGTCTGGTATCTTGTTCCTTGGGAAGACTGAGGCTGCTGCTGCTGATTCTGCTGCTGTTGCTGCTGCTGCTGCTGTTGCTGCCTTTGCACCTTCTGCATATGCCATTTCTGGGAAGAAGTCTGAAATTTGTTTGAAGAATTCCATACTACCCGCTGCACAGCTGGGACGGTTTCCTTTGGTAGGAGAGGTCTCTGCTTTTTTACTGGGCTGCCAGTAGCTGCAGCTGGAGT